TAGAATAAATAAATAAATAAATAAATAAATTTCCTTATTATTAATTAATATTTATATATTGTTTAATTTATATAAACTTATTTAATTTAAATGAAATATTTAATTAAATAAATAATATTTTATCAATACCTTTCGGTTCCTCTTATATAATAAGCTTTAATAATTAAGGCCTTAGTAAGCTTACTGTTTGTTTATTTATTGCATTGAATTTATTAAACTTAATTCCAAATTACCGGATTATTTAAGGCTGAATTCTCGTGTGAAAATTAAAAATTAGAAATCATTTTTATGATCCCCTTTAAGACTTTTACATTTTTCTACTGAAAGGACTTTGAAAACATTGAGAAACGAAAAATAATTCGACAGTTTATCTGTATGTCAGTGTGTGTGTGGGGGGCACGATTTTGTTTACTCACTTTAATAACTCCTGTGCTTCTTGCCGAAAATTTCTGAAATTTTGCAGGGATGTTTGTGTATTAAGGGATTTATGCTATTAAATTTTACTGATTAAAGGTTAAGAGGTGGGAAAATAAATAGAGGGAATCACTTGTGATATCTGGAGTAGGGTCGGATTCAACTGTTCGGACTTTACTGAAGATTTCACACGTTATTAGCATTTAGAATTTATTTAAAAATATATGTAAAACTCATTTCTATTCTGAAAATTAAAAATATAAAAAATTTTTTAAAATAAAATATAACAGATGGCACCACACGCATTTAATGTTGTCACTGGGAAAGTTAAGTAACTCGTTGCTGGATTTTTATTAACTCATTGTTGAATTGAAAACGATTTAATAAATATTAAACTCGTATTTATTCACTCTTTACTTCATTATTTTCTGAACTAATAATATTATCATTATTATTTCAAATATCATATAGAATTTTTACACAAGTAATATATATATTTTTTAAATTTGTTCATTATAAAAGCAGTAAACTGTAATTATTTATTGCCGTTATGATAGTTTCCTAAGTACTTATTAATATTTAAATGTCAGAATACAGTATCCTAAAAATCGATTTTACTGAGTCTATGAATTATACTGAAATACTTTTGGGTATTACTACTTAATTGCTAAATGTTGTTTGAATTAATGACTGAGTAATTGCCAATTGTTCTAATATTGTTTAATTCATGACATTAATTGTTTTAGGGAATGATCCTAAATTATGCTATGTAATGCATATTTTTCGAATCCTTCCTCCTCTGTCAGAAGTTAAAAGATCTTTTATATTTTTAACAAAACATTTTGACACAAGAAAAATCTACATAATCATAGCGAACGAAAATTATCATCATTGATAAATAAATCTCAGCACATCCTCATCATCCGACCGCCTTATTATGGGCCTGGCCGAACCCATAATGGGCTTGCTAAAAGAAGTCCTCTTAGTGTACTCAGGGCGAAAAGAGTTAATATTTTTTTCCCTTTAGGTAGGTTGCCGTTTTATTAAGGTTCCGTTTTGAACAGGTTTTACTATATCAATATTCTAAGAATGTGGTAATTTTGGAAAATTTCATAATTATTTGTTTTTTTTTCCTTTTTAATTTTAAATTCATTGTTCAAATATTCAAATTCAAATTCAAATATTCATCTTGAGAGAATGAATGAAAGGAAGACAATAAACAATAGATATTGTTTACCATTTAATCAATATAATTTAATGATTTGAAGATATATATAATTATAAAACAATGAATACACATATTGTTATATATCAAATATATAAGAGTTAATCTTTGAAATCTTTTGTTTTTAGGTTTGCTTAAGTTCTCGCAGTGGAACATGGGTTATGCCAAGAGTTGGACCAAAAGGATTACCATTCGATTCTATATTTCGTTCTCGTATATTTTTTCTTATCAGAGAATATCTTCCTGAATTTATTGTAAATACATTTCTGGAATACATAGTAAATTATTATTTTAATCATAAATTATATGGCCTCAAACCAAATTTTGGCTTTATAAATGGACATCCATCGACTAACGATCTTCTTTCTTTTTACATCATTAACGGTTCGATTACTATAAAGAAAGATATTAAAACTCTTACAAAATCAGGCGTAATATTTATGGAAGACGATGCAATCGTTCCGATTGATGATATCATTCTTGCTACTGGATATAATGCTAATTATTTTTTTATTGAAAATGATATCGTTGATTTTTCAAAGGGATTATATAAAGAAATTGTACCACCCGATCTGAAACACAATACTTTAGGATTTATTGGTTTTGTACAATTATTAGGATCTTTCGTGCCAATTGCTGAAATTCAAGCGAGATGGTTTGTGCAAGTTTTAAAAGGAAACATAACCCTTCCATCTAAAATGAAAATGCAAGAATGGATTCGTAACGCAAAATCTAAGAGAATTTCGCAATTTGGAAACAATGATAGATATTCGCTAGAAATTCGTGAAACTTATATAGATGAATTAGCCGCAGAAATTGGTGCTAAACCTTTTTGGCTTAAAATGATTTTATTTGATCCAAAATTATTTTATCACTGTCTGATGGGCCCATTTCTTCCTTATCAATACAGATTAGAAGGACCTCACAGATGGCCTGGAGCTAGAGAAGCCATATTGAAATTCAAACAAAAATTATTTACTCCTTTTATGAAATAAATTTAAAATGTTTCAATGTACAATAATCTTTATTAATAACTATTATTATTTCATTAATGATTAACAAAGAATAAAAGACATATTCTGTACGCAAATAATTAAGTAATCTGGTCATAATTGTTATGTAAAAGTTGTATTTATAATTTATATTAAAAATAAAGATTATACAGAATTATTCAGTTTTAAAATTCAAGGTAATTAATCACAATTATATATAAATGTATAGTTATATTCTTCGTTCCTTATTCATTAAATGTTAGCAATTTTTGTATAAAAATTGGATATATATATATATTTTTTTTTATGAAAGTGTGAGAGATGATCTGATGAACATTAAAGAAAAAGACACGCTGACACTGTACAGGATGTTTATATAAAAATAAAGATTAATGTGTCTAGTAGCTATGATAAAACGGCATCATTCGATTTTATAGTGTACTACGTATATCAGGATCTGTGTTGAGTCTCTTATTATTTACTATAATCTTAGATAAAATGTCAGACCCAATATATCGGATATTGTGATGAAAGTAGAATAGCTGCAAAACTAGAAAAAATGGAAGAATTTAGAACTGGAGAACTGAAAATAAACTACATATAAGTTTGTAAATAAAAATATGTGAAGTAAATACGTATAAATTTTAATGTAAAAAGTAATAGGTAATCATAAATTTGATAAGATAGATTATAAATCTATATTTCAGATAAAGGATGATGAAAAGAGACCGAGCAGGAGTAATAAAATCAATTTTTATTTTTACTAGTTTCTTCACCTCTGTCTATGACTGATAGAATAGTATAGAAAGCAAAACAGAAATTAAGAATGTAGTTATTAGAATCATAACTAATTAGATGAATGGGAGCAGTGGTGGATACAGAAGAATCCAAAGGCTCACTCCTTCACCGTCCGCATTAATAGGTCCTTAACCTCGGCAGTCATCTTAGTGATATTAAACAAATAAGAAATTTAACCATATTTTAAATATATTATGGCTTTTTATTTATTATGTACGTAGCCTATATATAATGATGGTAAACAAAATATCTGAACAGTGGCACAACCAGAAACTTCAAATAGGGAAAAAATTGTATCCATTTTTTTATAATAAAATTTATAATGAAATAATTACTTTTGTATAATGCTTTTTAAGCATTACAAAATAGTAAGCAATGTGTCTATTTTCTTGTAATTTTTTTAAACTTTGATAATTTTTTCGTATTTTTTAAATTTCCTTTACGGGAAACACTCGTGCTCCCTTCTCCCTGATTGCTCCATTGAATCTGAATGACACTAGCCTTCTTTTCTTTGTTATTGGGAATCGACTCAATCCACCTAAGTGGTGTTTCTTTTTTCTTTTTTGTGGAAAAGAGCACGTTTAAGATAAAGGGAAAGTAATTTTCTTTTTAAGAACAAAACTACCGGTAAATTTAACAAACTATATTATTTTACGCCTCTAGTTTCAAAACAATGCAATTTTATACAGTAGCAATTACATTACAGAGAAATTTTCGAAAATCAGTGAATCGAGATGCTTTCAGAAATACTGTAAATACTTACAAACAAATGGCTAATTTGACCATTTTTTGTGCAATTTCACGATTCACATTCTTCACTACACATTACATTATTCTTATCAACATAATCTTTGATCTCATTATTTGACTCGTATTTCTTGTTCATACAAATCATTTAACTTGCAATCATCTGATTAGTGTAAATTTTTCTGTGTTCAGTTGGGCTGACTTTACACTAGAGAAGTCACGTAGAGCGATTTCAGAAGCTAATAGCGATCACAGAATCAGATAAGTGAATAATGGTCATTTTAATATTGTTTTATTCGATATTTATGCTATTTTTTATATTAATTTTCATAATAATATATGTTAAATAACAAATAAACATATGCACACAGAAATGTAAAGTTCATTTTTTATGATGAAGATCCTGGATCTTCTGAAATTCTTGTTTTTTTTTCTGAAATTCTTGTGTTTCTACACGAATTCCTTGTTTTGCCAGTTCTTGAAGATCGTCGTTGGTAAGGTTTTCACCAGAAACTTGCAGTAACTCCTCAATATCCTGCTCATCCACATCTCCTAGTCTTGCTGTATCGATTAGGTTGACAATTTGGTCAACTAACAATACAGCGATAGGTTCTTCTCGTTGAGAATTTTTAGATACCTTCAGCCATAACTTCTTTCACACTCCGTTCGTGCATTTATCGATTAATTCTTGCCAAGCAAAGTCGATATTGCCCATGGCATCCACGATGTTATATTTTTTTTCCAAAATTGCACCAAATAAACATAGATTTAAAGAAAGTACAGCGCTACGACGAATTGCAACCTTTTACTGATTGGTTCGTGTTCGTGAATAATCGTATTATATACGAATCAATGAAATACCCGATAATGTGTGTAAATTTTGAGCTGTTTTTAGGCTTCGAACAGACCGCGTTATATGGAACCAGCGTTAAACGAGGTCTTACTGTACTTTCGAAATTTCTGTCGAGTGTTCTTAGTTTGTGGAAATTTTTATCTCTAAAAGTTTGATAAAATGTTCACACATTAAGCCACAAAGCCACGTCAAGGCGACACCCATTTTGTGGTAGTTTTTTATTTTCCAGAAACTAACCCTGATTGTTAGACAGAATAACAATCAGAGAATAAAACTGGATATTCGCTGCTATTTCATTTATTCGGTTAACTTAAATTATTCACGTAAAATAAGATTATTATACCATTGCAATCAAATGTTCTTATTAGGGAAAAAGGATTCTTAACATAGTTTTGCCGATACAAAAATAATTTAATGTTAAAAATCATAAAAATTAACGCCTAATTGATATAAATATTCTTCACAACGACTGAAAATTCTTAACTACATATATTGCCATTAATTAATCATCTCAAAATATAAGCAATAGCAACGAATAAAATAATATGAATTGTTTACATAAGTCACATTGAAACATATAATTTTAAAATATGATATTTAATCATATACAGGGATGTTCAATAAGTAATGCTTCCATATTTATATAGAAGCTCAGATGTCAAACTGAAATCTAAACAAGAACTAAGTTTAGCATGTCTTAACACACTTCATTTTCCTACACAGCATCCTTCATGTTCGATACAGATATGTCAATGCTTAATCAGTTCTCGAACTCGTCTCTGTAGAAATCTTTAGTCTCTCGGAACCATTTCCTCAAGGTGGTTTGGACATTGTCACACGTGAAATGAATTCCTTTGATATGTCTCATGAAAGTAGATATTAACCAAGAATCTGAGAGCGCCAAATCTGTGTCAAGAACTTCAAACACCGAGTTTCTGTATGGCTTCTGACATGATAGCAGGGATCTGGGATCTATCATAGTTATATTGCAGAACCATTGGCTTTGTCTGTAGTTTCAGCACCATAAACTGTTACTAATCTTTCATAATTTTTTTGATACTCATTTTTACGATTGATCGATTATAGCTGATAGTGGCATTCTACGCGCCAAGTATCGTCCATTTTAAACAATTAAATTTGAACTACCGTATAACCCAATTGATGCTCTACTATGCTTTAGAAAGTAGCTAATGAAACAAAGAATTATTTGTTGTCTAACTGCTTGCTAAGCAACAGTTTAAGTACAGTATTTACATTAAAAATACCATAACTATATGTTGACAAAAGGAAACAATGAAGAACTTTTTAACATAGTTATCTGTAAAAGTTATTGATAGTTTTTAATCTTAACATAACAGTAATTTTATCCTAATGATTTATTTACGAGTACTATACATGAATTTATACTTTTATACTTAAATTAATAAAATATTTTAATAAATCCATAAATTTTAAATAAGAAATATATGTAGTTATCTTTATCTAAATTTATATTCGTGATTACAAACAATATATTTTATTTATAATTAGATAATAAAATAAATACTATTTCTTTCAACTTATTTGCAATGATAATTATTATTTCTTCTACCTGGAAATTCCGTCATCAACACTAAAACCTTTTACATTATACGAGTCTTCATCAAGCATTACTCTACGTTTCTTCCAACGTCCTCTTCAGAAATTGGCATCTTATTCATAAAAAGTTTATTCTTCGGTCCGGAAACTGGATACATCATTATAAAAGTCTTCTTTTCTATCTTTTAATGTCAAATGCAATGCTGCTTATTTGACACAAGAGAAATGTTTTAAGAAATTTATAACATGTGTTTAATTGAGAAAGGTAATCTGTATTGCTTCATCTTCGCCTTAATATAAAGAATATATGTTAGAGATTTTGGGCATTAATTTTTTATATTTTTATCTCTGCAAACAATTATAGATCTGGAATGTGCGTTGAAATTACATTAACTGCTCCACCGATATTATATATCATATAATACCATTCTGAAAAGTAATTTCAGGAAAATCATTTGAGGTGTGTTACTAAATAGTATATCAAGTATAATTTTAAGATTTGTAAAGTTATAACATAAAATATTATTAAAATATAAGCTTCTATAATAATTCAAATTCGCAGAAGATCCTGATTATTATCTGATAATTATTATCTATATTAAACGAAAATAAGTGTAGAAATTGGGCTACTTATCAGAATTCTTCTTAAAAGAAATGTGCTTAACAAACGTATTTCTTTTACCTACCACACTTTTCTGCAATTTAAATGTAACTATTGATTCTGATAAAATTCCAAATCAAGTAAATGCTGATGATAATATTCCTTTTACTGTTTTATTTGACTTCAATAGTGGGAAGTAGACCTAACTACATTGACTATATTACACATATTTGACACAATTCCGGTTCCTGTATCGATCGTATATTACGAAATACCTTCTTTGTAGTTACAAAGGATGCATTACGTCAGTTACTTTATGTATTTTCTATTTTTATTCAAACATGAAATATCGCTTATAGATTCCGGAATTAAAGTTCTCTGCAAATCAAATTATATCCTTCATAAAAAAAAACATGTTAAAACAATTAAGTGTATCTCCTGAATTGATATTTATTTAAACTATTATAAAGAATTACTTACTTTCGAGTGACGTACTGAATCACAATTCTGCCAAAAAGTCTCGAAAAGAAGACAAGAACAATTAAAACTTCCAGAGATTCTTCCATTTTGGAGAAACAATAGAAAAAATAACAATTGGAAACTATTGTTAATTAAGTATTGACGTCACGAATATATTTAATCATTGAATACGTTTTTAGATTGCCTCTTAAAGCTTACTAGAACAATAGCCATATTGAATCATGTCTGCATGGTTCAATATGGCTATTATTTCACTATGGTTAAGGAATTTAGATTTCTTCTATTTTTAGATCTGTCTTTCGTAGTGTTTTTTAAACAGTTAGATTGATTAATTAATGCGCGGTGTTTAGCATATTATAAACTATATGACAAGCCATACCTTTAGTAGAGTAGGTCTGACACAATATGGAGTCGATCCACTCTTTTATAATTCGATAATACAGTAGGAAACAACTGTTCAATCAATAATAACATAATAAAAATTTAATTTAATTTATTATTTAAAATGATATGTATTGCTTTAGTATATACAATATTATATGAAGTTAAATTTAATGATACTATATACGTAGAAGTGTTAGCGATTTAGTGTTTTTAATGATTAATTGTAACTAATATTCATCAACATTAATCATAAACGGGAATAGAAATTTGTAATTAATTTACTTTAACATTAGTTTAAAATAAACTTAATATAACTTACGAAAGTTTTAATAGAAGAAAAACATCAAAAAATATAAGCACATGCAAACAATTTATAACAAAAAAGAAAACAAGGAAAGCCACTTCTTATAACTATTAAAATTTTAAGTCTTGATTTAAAGCATTTTTAATGGACATTTTTATATGGTAATAAATGGAAGATATTTGCATTTACCTCAATATATACGTTTTTAAAGTTTTTAAAAAGCGTATTGATTTAGCACCATCGTTATTCACCTCTAAAATTGTCACTAAATCGAGTATGGTGATAACCTAAAGTATCTCAAACAAAGGATTCGAATTATGTAGTATGTAATCATTAAATCTACATATAAGTTTAAGTTTAAGAGGTAAAGTCAAATGATTTGATGATGATAATTATGGAAAATCGTACAGTACGTTCAGCAATTCATAGATACGAAAGAACTCTCTATTTAGTATTTATGGAAATCAGTTGACTCATTATCACCTTACGAATTTAGTGCAATTTAGAAGAACACTATATCGAGATTTGCATTGATTTTTTTAAAAAAATTAACATTAATAAATATATTTCTAGATGTATTTACCTGTATATTTAATTTAATTTATATGGTTATCCAAGTATATAAGTTATTAAGTCTGTATAATGTTACATTTATATAAACAATTAATTTATTTGAATATTATTTAGTTCATAATACCGAAATAAAAGAAGTTTTAATAAATCTAAGAAGATTTTATAATAAAATGTAATAAATTAAAATCAATAGAATTATGTTTTGGTGGAGTTGGTGTTTTTTTTTACATTAATCAAGAAGAATAATAACTTTTATAAAGAAAAAATATATATATCTTGTAATACTATTAAATTGTAAATATATGTAAGTAATGAATTTTCATTTATATTCTTAATATGTTTTATTTAATAAATTATTCTTGTAAGTTATTTCAAAAATTTACTTTATATAAGACGGAGTTAGAGGTTAAAAGTTTACATTTCTTGATAAAAATTCACAAGAAAGATTACAATCTCTGTGTTCTAATAAATTAATTTTTATTTGACGCGAAATAATTCTTTTTCATCTTATAATTTATCCTTTTTTTTTCTCTCTCTCTCTCTCTCTCCTGAAAAATGGAAACAATCACGATCAGCCTTATACGTCAAAAAGTAAAGTGGTAATTGAATTTTATAATCCTCTGGTGCAACCATGCGAGTGTTATATATTATCTGTGATGACATTTTTGATAAAGTAAAATATTTCATTTCTGCTTGAGACAAGTAAAAGCTAATAACACGTTTTCACATTAAATTAATTTAAAAATAACAATCTGTATTATTTTGTATTGATTAACACTATACGATGATTATTAAATTAATATTGATTGGTAAATTTTAAAGTTAAGTATTAACTTTGATAGTTTTAAAAGGGAATAAGTTTTATATATGTAATAATTTTATAATGGAATCGTTTTATTATAGAACTTTATACATAATCCAAATTCCATACTACAACTGAAAAAGTAGTAATGATAAAATGCTAATAAAAGAATTCGTAATAGTATGAGGCGTTAAACTAGTAACTTATAAGGTACTTTTTACTTTAAAGTGTTTAGATAGCGAAAATATAGTGTCTAAGTCTATTAAGGTATCAGAAAGTAACAGGTAATAGCAGTTGACTTCATAAAATCAGTAGTTAAATGGTACAAAAAAAAATAATACACATAATACATGCTCTTAGATGTAAATTCTGTAAATAGGTTACATTTTTTTTATTTTTATTTATTTTATTTTATACACGGTTAGGAATTGCCATACGGCAGATAATATACACCCCAATTGACAAATACCCCAACAGGAAATACTGTTAAAACTAAAAAATAACACTAAACACGGTATCAAAATCTAAATTAGTATTATTAGATTATCTATAATTAGATTATATTATTATAAATTATTATTTAGGTTCGAAATATGAATTACAATTGATATAGCGCCGTTAGCCGAAGCTTTCAGGTTTAGATTATGGAGCAATCATCAGTTGTATCCCAGATGGAAAGAAAATAATAACTCCAATACATTATCTAAAAGGGTAAAGGAATATTCGCAAAGATACTAAGCTTTCACCAATTTAATTATTCTTCTTACAGTGAAGTGATGTTACTTTTTGCATTAGTGAAATGGGTGCTTCTTTTAACATTTATGAAACCAAAAATTGTTTTTATGGCATATTTTTTTTTTGTTTCTTTTAATACATTTTTTTGAATTTTATTGTTTTAATATTTGAAATTAAAATCAGGAGTTAAAATTTTAAATATTAGAAAATAAATGCATTGTGCTAAAGTACTAATGCATTCTAAATACTGCATACTAATGTAAGTATAATCAGATGCAATTTAATTTCTTAACATTATCTTTTAATAATTCTCTTAAATATTTAATAGCTCAACAATAAATTTGAATTTCTCACATTTTATTCTCCATANACTATTATAAAGAATTACTTACTTTCGAGTGACGTACTGAATCACAATTCTGCCAAAAAGTCTCGAAAAGAAGACAAGAACAATTAAAACTTCCAGAGATTCTTCCATTTTGGAGAAACAATAGAAAAAATAACAATTGGAAACTATTGTTAATTAAGTATTGACGTCACGAATATATTTAATCATTGAATACGTTTTTAGATTGCCTCTTAAAGCTTACTAGAACAATAGCCATATTGAATCATGTCTGCATGGTTCAATATGGCTATTATTTCACTATGGTTAAGGAATTTAGATTTCTTCTATTTTTAGATCTGTCTTTCGTAGTGTTTTTTAAACAGTTAGATTGATTAATTAATGCGCGGTGTTTAGCATATTATAAACTATATGACAAGCCATACCTTTAGTAGAGTAGGTCTGACACAATATGGAGTCGATCCACTCTTTTATAATTCGATAATACAGTAGGAAACAACTGTTCAATCAATAATAACATAATAAAAATTTAATTTAATTTATTATTTAAAATGATATGTATTGCTTTAGTATATACAATATTATATGAAGTTAAATTTAATGATACTATATACGTAGAAGTGTTAGCGATTTAGTGTTTTTAATGATTAATTGTAACTAATATTCATCAACATTAATCATAAACGGGAATAGAAATTTGTAATTAATTTACTTTAACATTAGTTTAAAATAAACTTAATATAACTTACGAAAGTTTTAATAGAAGAAAAACATCAAAAAATATAAGCACATGCAAACAATTTATAACAAAAAAGAAAACAAGGAAAGCCACTTCTTATAACTATTAAAATTTTAAGTCTTGATTTAAAGCATTTTTAATGGACATTTTTATATGGTAATAAATGGAAGATATTTGCATTTACCTCAATATATACGTTTTTAAAGTTTTTAAAAAGCGTATTGATTTAGCACCATCGTTATTCACCTCTAAAATTGTCACTAAATCGAGTATGGTGATAACCTAAAGTATCTCAAACAAAGGATTCGAATTATGTAGTATGTAATCATTAAATCTACATATAAGTTTAAGTTTAAGAGGTAAAGTCAAATGATTTGATGATGATAATTATGGAAAATCGTACAGTACGTTCAGCAATTCATAGATACGAAAGAACTCTCTATTTAGTATTTATGGAAATCAGTTGACTCATTATCACCTTACGAATTTAGTGCAATTTAGAAGAACACTATATCGAGATTTGCATTGATTTTTTTAAAAAAATTAACATTAATAAATATATTTCTAGATGTATTTACCTGTATATTTAATTTAATTTATTATTTAAAATGATATGTATTGCTTTAGTATATACAATATTATATGAAGTTAAATTTAATGATACTATATACGTAGAAGTGTTAGCGATTTAGTGTTTTTAATGATTAATTGTAACTAATATTCATCAACATTAATCATAAACGGGAATAGAAATTTGTAATTAATTTACTTTAACATTAGTTTAAAATAAACTTAATATAACTTACGAAAGTTTTAATAGAAGAAAAACATCAAAAAATATAAGCACATGCAAACAATTTATAACAAAAAAGAAAACAAGGAAAGCCACTTCTTATAACTATTAAAATTTTAAGTCTTGATTTAAAGCATTTTTAATGGACATTTTTATATGGTAATAAATGGAAGATATTTGCATTTACCTCAATATATACGTTTTTAAAGTTTTTAAAAAGCGTATTGATTTAGCACCATCGTTATTCACCTCTAAAATTGTCACTAAATCGAGTATGGTGATAACCTAAAGTATCTCAAACAAAGGATTCGAATTATGTAGTATGTAATCATTAAATCTACATATAAGTTTAAGTTTAAGAGGTAAAGTCAAATGATTTGATGATGATAATTATGGAAAATCGTACAGTACGTTCAGCAATTCATAGATACGAAAGAACTCTCTATTTAGT